AAGAAAACAAAGACCACCTCTGGGAAGAAATGCATCGGTAACCAAAGAGTACTCTACCAAACTAGGCCCAAGGAACTGGTTCCTTGAGTATTTTCTCCTGCTAATCTAAATTTACAAGGAGAGAAAAAGGACTCTCACTACTCTCCCTTCATCTGACTCCACAGATAGAGAGATGTCAGGAGGCTTCCATGGCAAGAAATGTTAACGTGTGCTGGCTGTTTGTCAGATTTCCCAAGGACCTCTCAGCTGCAGCCATGTCCGGGGCAAGCGGTGTCCGGTGACTTAAAGTATCCTACCAACTCTGTCAGTTGTTGGAGAGGAAAAATGTACTCTTCTCTTCAAGGTCCTTGTAGCTGGACTAAGAATCAAATTGACATGAGACAGATTAACAGGAGAAAATCAAATTTAATCACATATGTACAAGGAATCCACACAGACATGGAAATGCCAAAGACAATGAGGCAACATGATGCTTCTGTGAGCTAAGAAGAGGGGTAGGGGTCTGAGGATACAAAGGGGAGAAAGACCATTAACAAGAAGGTGAGAGGGGATGTTTGGAGAGCAAAGGTTTCCCTATTATGTAGGTAAGTTTCGTAGGTAAAGACGAATCTCTGGGGGCACCTGGGTGGCTCAGTCGTTGAGCGTCTGCCTTCGGCTCAGGTCATGATCCTGGAGTCCCGGGATCGAGTCCCGCATCGGGCTCTCTGCTTGGCGGGAAGCCTGCTTCTCCCTCTGACCCTCCCCCCTCTCATGTGCTCTCTCTCTCAAATAAATAAATAAAATCTTAAAAAAAAAAACCAACTCATCTCATCCAATTTTTTTCCTTTTTAAAAAGATCTTTTTAAATAAACTTTTAATTTTAGAATAGTTTTAGATGGATAGAAAAATTGTGAAGATTGTACGGTACATAGAGTTCCCATATATCCCCACACCTAGTTTTCCATATATTAACATCTTAGAGTAGTTGGTACATTTGCTACAATTAATGAACTACACAGAGGTTATGTTTTATTCAGTCTATGTTAGTTTTTAGCTGATGTACTTTATCTGTTCTAGAATCCCATCTAGGATACTATGTAAATGTATTTGTCATGTCTCCTTGGGCTCCTCTCAAGTATAGCAGTTTCTCAGACTTTCCCTTTTTTATTGTTTTTAATGACTTTGCCAGTTTTGAGTTGTAATGGTCAGGTAATTCATAGAATGTCCTTCACTGGAATCTGTCCGATATTTTTCTCATAATTATACTGGAGAAGAACACCACAGAAGTAAAATTCCATTCTCATCACATTGTATAAAGTGTACATATTATTAACATGGCTTATCTTTTTTTTTTTTTAAGATTTTATTTATTTATTTGACACAGAGAGACACAACGAGAGAGGGAACACAAGCAGGGGGAGTGGGAGAGGGAGAAGCAGGCTTCCCACGGAGCAGGGAGCCCGATGCGGGGCTCGATCCCAGGACCCTGGATCATGACCTGAGCCTAAGGCAGACGCTTAACAACTGAGCCACCCAGGTGCCCCAACATGACTTATCTTTGATGTTAACCTTGATCCTCTGGTAGAGGTAGTGTTTGTTAGGCTTCTCATTTGTAAAGGCATTCTGTTTTCTCCTCTTTCTACGCTGTAATGTTTGGAAGGAAGTCGCTATGTGCAGCCCACAGCACTCTCCTTTTTTAAAAAGAGAAATTGTAGGGGCTCCTGGGTGGCTCAGTTGGTTAAGTGTCTGACTTCGGCTCAGGTCATGATCCCAAGGTCCTGGGATTGAGCCCCATGTCGAGCCCATTTTGGGCTCCCTGCTCAGTGGGGAGTCTGCTTCTCCCTCTCCCTCTGCCCCTCCTTCCACTCGTGCTTTCTCTGTCTCTCAAATAAATAAATAAAATCTTTTTTTTTAAAAAAAAGAGAAATTGTAGTGCAGAATGATAAAGTAATTTGCCCTAGGCCATAGCTTTAATTATACTTAGTCCAAAGTATGATTTGGGCAACAGAAAGAGGATTACTTAATGTATAATAGTTTTTTTTTTTTTTTTTTTTTTTAAAGATTTTATTTATTTATTCATGAGAGACAGAGAGAGAGAGGCAGAGGGAGAAGCAGGCTCCCAATGAGCAGAGAGCCCGATGTGGGACTCGATCCCAGGACCCTGGGATCATGACCTGAGCCGAAGGCAGACGCTTAACCATCTGAGCCACCCAGGCGCCCTATAATAGTTTTTTTAACAAAAATATTTTATTCATTTATTTGCCAGAGAGAGAGAGAGTGCGCACAAGCAGGGGGAGCGGCAGGCAGAGGGAGAAGCAGGCTCCCCGCTGAGCAGGGAGCCCGATGCAGAGCTCGATCCCAGGACCCCGGGATCATGACCTGAACTGAAGGCAGACGCTTTATCGACTGAGCCACCCAGGCGCCCCAGTAGTTTTATTTTAAAACTAATCAATGTGATTCAACAAATTTTGTTTTACTTAAATTTTACCTTAATTTACATGTCAAATTAAGGTTAAGGTGGTGGATTTAGTACGTACACAATCTAGCTTCCCTTAGCCCCCAACAACCCTTTTACTCAAAACATAGAGAATTATTAGATAATGTATTTTTTTCAAATTCACCCCACCGCCGCACACACATAGCTGAGCTCAAAATGAATAAAGGAAAAATGTATACATGTTGGAAACTAGGAAGGAGCTAGTTCAAAGAACAGGAGCTAAAGTTTCACTGGGACTAGAAACTTATACTGAAAGCCAGCCCCTAACAGTTTGCCATCCACACAGGAGAGTCCAGAGTCCTGAATCTTTGAAACATGGTCCAGAAGAGGACAAGAGGTGCATGCCCAGAAGGGTGAGTCTTCTTGGGCTCCTGGATTCCTTGGTTCTTGAAGACGGCCACTGTGAATGGTGGGCAAGAGAAACCCTCTAAATGCTGGGTCACACGCCGGGGTCCCAGATATCCAGTTCTGTGGGTGGTGCTGTAAACAGCCATGGGGACTCTACCTGAGGATGAAGAAAAATGTTTGCAGAGTGAAGCTATGGGGTCCGAGAAGCAATGATGAATAAAGAGAGCAGTAAACATGGAACATGATTTTGAAAAGTACTTTCCGTAAAATAACAAGTATAACAATATTTGTGTTTGTGTTTGGAAACAAGCTGGAAATAAAACACTTTGTAATAAATTGGAAGTCATTGTTACCAAACTCAACTTGCCCGTGCACCTGACATGTGGTAAGCCAATGTCTGAGACACTGGGTTTGAAGCAATGAAAGTTTTATTATCAGAAGGGCAGCCCAAAGGAAGGCAAGGGATCATTCTAGAAGCTGTCTTGCCATGTTGAGCCCAGGGGCAGCTTATATACGTTTGGTGAAGGAGGTGGATACATGAGAGGAGAGGCGGGGCTTGAGACAACCTAGAGCTATGCGTTCTTTTTTTTTTTTTTAAAGATTTATTTATTTATTTATTTATTTATTTGACAGAAAGAGACACAGCGAGAGAGGGAACACAAGCAGGGGGAGTGGGAGAGGGAGAAGCAGGCTTCCCACGGAGCAGGGAGCCCGATGCGGGACTCGATCCCAGGACCCTGGGATCATGACCTGAGCCGAAGGCAGACGCTGAACGACTGAGCCACCCAGGCGCCCCGAGCTATGCGTTCTTTTGGACAACAAGGCACCCTTCAGACCTGCTTTTATCAGGTACATCAGAGAATTTCAAGATAAATGTTACCGTCCAGTCCCCATTAGGTTTCTACAATCATTATGTAAACAGAGAGTTGGGATAAAAAGGCCAAGTCAATGACTGTGCATGAGGTTAAGAGGTGCATAGAACATACTTAAGTAGGGAACAAAACAGAACGTGGAGCTAAGTTAATAGCACAACTAACAACTACAATTCTGCTTATGTTTTCAAAACAGGTCCGGGAACCAAGTGACCGGCCTCTTCGGGAGGCAGAGGAAGTTACTCTGTGCCAAGGTCCTATCTTTTTCAGTAGGGAAAAGAGATACTGATTAACTTTGACTTTGTCAGCATATTTTAAGTGTAAGAATGTATGCTAAAAATTAACAAAAGGCATAAATTCCAAACTGGAAAGTGAAAAGAAAGAAGTTTAAAAAATTGATCTATTTAATGAAAGCAGAAAGAAGAAAAACAGTAAGAATGAATAGTAAAAAAAAAAAAAATACAAAGATGGTAGACATTAATCCAAATACATCAGTAATTATAATGCATAGATGCAGGTTATACTCACTTTTCTAATACTGGATACAAAAATCAGTTTGAGATTAAAAAGTGAAATTTGTAAGAAGGTAGATCCTAAAAGTTCTCTTCGCAAGAAAAAATCATGTAAATATGTATGGTGACTTGTTAACTAGATTTGTGGCGATCGTTTTGCAGTAAATACAAATACAGAATCATTATGTTGTACACCTGGAACTAATATAAGGTTATATGGCACTTATACCTCAATTTAAAAAAAACGTAATAATTATATGCTATTTATAGATATACCTTAAACAAAAGGATTTGGAATGATCAAAACGAGAGAAAAGATATACTAACTGAGAAATTTGATAAACAATATTAATATTGAAAGATGTTTATATTAAGAGAATTCTAATAGGATATTAAGCAAGAAATTGAGTAGAGAAAAAGAAAGAAAATACATAATGATAGGAGTTGGCCCTGAGAGATGAAGAGGAGGAGGTGTCTGGCTGGCTCAGTGGGTAGAGCATCCGACTCTCGCTCTTGGGGTCGTGAGTTTGAACCCCACGTTGGGGGTAGAGTTTACTTAAAAAAAAAAAAAGAGAGAGGGCGCCTGGGTGGCTCAGATGGTTAAGCGTCTGCCTTCAGCTCAGGTCATGATCCCAGGGTCCTGGGATCGAGTCCCGCATCGGGCTCCCTGCTAGGCGGGGAGCCTGCTTCTCCCTCTGCCTCTGCCTCTGCCTCTCTGTCTCTCTGACTCTCATGAATAAATAAATAAAACATTAAAAAAAAAAGAGAGAGAGAGACAAAGAGGAATATCCCTCTTAGAGACTGATAAGGAGCCAAATTAAGGAGTCACCTTGATGAATCATGACAGTAGGAAATAGGCACTCTCTTGTTCTCCAATTCAAGACCCATGGTTCAGTTTGCTTTAGGGTGAAGGCCACATATTTCCCCCATATTTCCTAAGTACATATTCTCAGTTCTCCAAACCACCACATGTTTTCTCATCTCTGGGCTTCATACACGCTTTGCTCTTTGCCCAGATCTCTCCCCCATGGCACAAGTGACGCAAACATTGGAGGAATGGGGCTGGGTCCTTCTCCCTGTTGCAACACAGAGCTCAGCACACGATTTGCTTCTCGAGTGCTTAGATCAGTGCAGAGATGAGATATGCAAGAAGGAAATGTGAGCACAGATGGGGGCGTTTAATTCGACCTGAGGAATTGACTTCAAAGAGGAAGTGCCCTTTAAGAAGAATCTTGGAGAAAGAATAAGGACAGAGGTTGCTCCAGGTAAAGGGAGCAGTGTGAACAAATGTCCTGATGCTACCAGGGAATTTTGAGTAGTCAAATGTAGTGTAGCCGGAGTGTGTGTGTGTGTGTGTGTGTGTTAATGAAGGAGGGAGAAATGAAGCTGCAAATCAAGAGTGCGGTCACTACACAGAGCCTGGGATGCCATGCTAAGGAGTGTACGCTTTTCCCTGCAGGTGGATGTATCCACGGAAAATATTTAAACAGGAGGATGATTGTGGTAGCTGTCAGAGCTATTCACTGAATATTTCCAGTAGTTCCCACTTCAAAGCCTCTATCAGGATTGTGCTTCTCTGCCTGCCTTGAAGTTGGCATGGCCACAGAACTTACGTCGTTGACCGGGGCTAGTGAGTGAACGTGACCCATGCCATTTTTTGGCAGAAACCCTAAGAGATGCTATCTGATTTGTCATTGAGCCTTTTCCTGCCTGAGCTACTATGGAAGCATGAGCCTTTGTCCTCGAGTGAGAATGACATAGAGAAGATCCTCAGCTCGTTCGTCACAGACACAAATAAGACATAAACCATTGTTTTAAGATACGGAGACATGGTGGTGGTTATTGTAGCATAACCTTGCCTGTTTGGGCTATTATAAGTTTTTTGTTTTGTTTTGTTTCAGATGTAACACTTGTTGGACTTGAAGCCAAGAGAAAAATTAGGAGACCATTTCCAATGGGGTACTGGCAAGGAGGGAAGGTGAAGAATAGTCTGAGCCTGAGGGTAAGGACTGCATCGATTTTACTCATTTATGGGTTTCCGGTACCTGGCTCAGTTCCTGGAATGAAAGAGGGGGGTATGGAATCCTTGTTCTCGTGCTTCCAAGAGGACTGTGCCATGTTCCCCCAAAAGATCTGTTCAAGTCTTAATCCCCAGTACCTTTGAATGTGACCTTATTTGGAAGTTGGGTGTTTGCAGATGTAATAAAGTTAAGGATCCTGGGATGAGATTACCCTACATTTAGGATGGCCTCTAAATACCATGACAAGCAGCCTTCTAAGAGGAAGGGGAGGAAGATTTGGCCCAGAGATACAGGGCAAAGGCCATGCGAAGCTGGGGACAGGGACTAGAGTCATGTGATCACAAGCCAAGGAACACCAAGGATTGCCAGCAGCCAGACACAGCAGAGAAGAGGTAAGAAATGGGTTCTCCCTCAGAGCCTCGAGAAGGTACCAGCATGAATGACAGCCTTGATTTTGGACTCCTGGCCTCTAGAACCACAGGGCTCAGGTAGGGAGAAATAGCAAATGTTTGAATTCTGTTCACAAAAGTGTACTTTCCAAAATTGCTGATAGCTTAGAGAAAAGAGAAAAAGTTTTCCTTAAATCTGGAAAAACGAAACATTAAAGAACCACGATGTTTCAGATTGAATGATACCCAGGTCGACCCACCCACCCAAGCACATTATTAATTTACTTCTTTACATCAGGGAGGAGATCTTCTACTAAGATGGAAATCAAACACAGAAAGTCTAAGTCTGACAGAGTCCCTTTTCTAAGTTGGACCCAGTCTGACCCCAACCTTGCTCCAATTTCCGAGTTGCACCCAGTTGCACCCAGTCTGACCCAGGTCGGGATTAGTTTCCAAGTCAGACTCAGTCCGACCGGTACCCGGTCTGGTTTCCAAGTCGGACCCAGTCTGACTCGGGCCAGTTTCTGGACTCAGTCCTGGAGAAAGAAATGCTTGGCGAGTGTGAAAGCTCCTCACAAAATCCATGAAGCTGGGATGGGGAGGCGACCGCCAGAGCCAGCCGGAATGCAGTGAGCTGAAGGGCTTCAGCAGGTGGGTGGGTGGGCTTGCTCACTGCTGCCGGGACACGTGGTGGCGGTGGGGGCGCTTGGAGAGGGTTGAGGGGGGTCTCCTTCAGTTCCCTCTCCTGACATCAGAACTGTTAAAAGATAAACTGAGGCACATGTAAAATGTTAAGACTTTATCTGAGCAAAAAGTGAGTCAAATCCAGCAGCCCTGACCTGCAAGTGGCTAGGCACGCTCCACCTGCAGCAGCTGGGGAGAGTTTCTTCTGGAGACAAGGTGGAAGCAAGGTAAGGAAATGACTGATTGGCTATAACCTAAAACCTGGTTGGCTGGGATCGGTGTTTTGATTTTGCAACCTTGAGGCAGAGACAGATCCTCCTGCACTTCAGATGGGGTTACATCTCCATAAAGCGTTTGTAAGTTGACAAGATCATCTTAAGTTGAAAATGCATTTAGTACACCGAACCTAAGGAACACCATAGCTTAGCCTAGCCTGCCTTCATCGTGCTCAGAACACATCAGCTTACAGTGGGCAAAATCATCTAACGCAAAGCCAATATTACAGCCACGTTTTGAATATCTGATGTAATTTATTGACTTCTGCACTGAAAATGAAAACCAGAATGGCTGAGTGGGTACAGGCCAGTTGTAAGCCTATCTGTTATCTACCCCGGTGATTGTGGGGTCGGCTGGGGGCTGTGGCTCGTTGCCCCTGCCCAGCTCAGGAGAGGGTATGGTACTGCATGCCGCTAAGCCGGGAAAAGATCCAAATTCGAAATCCGAAGTACAGTTTCTACTGAATATATGTTGCTTTTGCACCATCCTAATGTAGGAAAATCTTACACCATAGGAAGTCAGGAACAGTCTGTATAGGCTGAGATTTTGGTTTGCTTACGTAAGCTGCAACAGCATTAGAGCCCCATTAATCAGTGGGCTCCCTATTTAATTAAAATTTAACAGAAGCCAGGGTTCTCAGTGCTGGGCAGGTGTTCTTTACTGTCCGTTACACAGTCCCAAGCACAAACCCTCTCCTCCATCCCCTGTCTCTGTATTCTGCCTTCCAACAATCATACCTATTTCTTGCCATTTCATTTTGCTTTGCTTTGTTTTTGTCCCCTGTTGGGTCAAGTTTGGCTTGTTCTGCAGAAATAACAAATGCCTGAATGATTCCCCTTCTTCAGAGCTCTGGGGTGAGGTAAAGCTACAGATGTTTAGGAGTGGCGACGATCCCCGTTGGTGGATGTAGGCGCAATACTTCTGTTTGGGAATGGGCTATCCTGAATGATGCCAGCCGAAAGGGGATTTCAGGAATTTGCTTTCATGTTTCAATCATTCATTTAAACACATTGAAGAATGGCCCCCACTTTCTTTAGCTTTCATAAGCCCTTAGGAGGCCCAAATTCTCTTGTGCAGTCTGAGGATAATTTTTTTTTTTTCTTTCATCTGGGTTGGCAGGGATTGGGGGAGTGGAAGATGATTGTTCAAAGGGAAGCTCTTTATTCATTCTCTCAAATCTGTTTCATAGGAAATTTTCCATAGGGATTCTAGGAAGAGAAACGAATGACTTAGGCTGAGAGCCACATTTGCTCCATGAAACATTCCAGCAGCTCTGTCTGTGGCCAGTGGGGCAGCCAAAGCCTACGGAATTTCAAGGAACGCAGCACTTTTTTTAAAATTGGAGCTCTCTGTCTGGCCACAATGCTAATTGTTTCACAATAGCCACTTGGTCTATAGTGTTATGGGGACTTCAATGGTTTCTTTTGTCTGAAACAGTCTAACTCCTAGTGCTTATTCAAAAAGGTTACAATTAGGGTGCCTGGGTGGTTCAGTCGTTCAGCGTCTGCCTTCGGCTCAGGTCATGGTCCCAGGATCCTGGGATCGAGCCCCACATCGGGCTCCCTGCTCAGCGGGGAGCCTGCTTCTCCCTCTCCCACTCCCCCTGCTTGTGTTCCCTCTCTCGCTGTGTCTCTCGCTGTGTCTCTCCCTGTCAAATAAATCTTTAAAAAACAAAACAAAATAAAAAAAAAGGTTACAGTTAGAAAGGATACTGGAGGGGCGCCTGGGTGGCTCAGTTGTTAAGGGTCTGCCTTCGGCTCAGGTCATGATCTCAGGGTCCTGGGATGGAGCCCCGCATCGGGCTCCCTGCTTGGCGGGAAGCCTGCTTCTCCCTCTCCCGCTCCCCCTGCTTGTGTTCCCTCTCTCGCTGTGTCTCTCTCTGTCAAATAAATAAATAAAATCTTAAAAAAAAAAAAAAAAAAAGAAAGGATATGGGAATAGAGCTTGAGAAAGTAATCGTGGGCACCAATATCCCCTTTCATTGTAAGTCGCTTCCTTTTCCCTGCTTCTGTAGTGGGGTGATGCCAAATGCTTGACTCGTCCTGGGGTTCTCTTTTCCTAGGGAAGGGCCGTGGTGTAACGGGGGGCAGCGGACACCGGAATGCTGAAGCCCAACAGCTGGCTCGGGGAACAGGCGTGTAAATGGAAGCTGGTGGTGATTTGAACAAAGCCCAAACATGCGTGGGGTTAGCTTGATTTACCAGAATCAACAGAACCTGGAAAAGAACCAAGCTGTGGAGCCTTTGTTTGGAAAGTTTTGTAGGATAAAGGTTAGTTGGATTTCAATAAAGCTCTTCCATCAGGATTTCGAAACAAAACATTGAAAAAGAACAGAGGCTGTCTCTATCTTTCCTTCCTACTGGCCAGGTTTTGAGTTCCACGACTAGTGAGTTGGAAGAGATGCAGTCAGTCTCTTTGAACAACCCATGAATCTATTCCGCCCGGGAACCCAGAACACCCTGGGCTTGGATTTATTTCTATCATGTAAGGCAAAAGCTAATTAGTTAATTTTTCCTGATTTTTTATTGTGGTTGAATATATATTGGAGGCAATGTTAAGTTGACACAGAAAGTATAAGTGACCTAAAAATGCTGTACTAGAGGGGTGGCCATCCACTTTCGATTTCTAGCTTCCTTCCCCAGCATGGTCACCAGAGGACGTTTGAGTCTCAGCATCCTTTTCTGTGCAATGATAGTACTAAAAATACCAATTTTATTTTAGTTTTTAAAGATTTCATTGAGAGTGAGAGAGAGAGAGAGAGCACAAGGTAGGGCAGGGGGATAGGGCGGGCAGAGGGAGAGGGAGAAGCAGACTCCTTGCTGAGCAGGGAGCCCGATGCGGGGCTCGATCCCCAGACCCTGGGATCATGACCCGAGCTGAAGGCAGATGCTTAACCGACTGAGCCACCCAGATGCCCCTAAAAATAGCAGTTTTAAAACAAGTCAAGTGAAAAACTGCCTGTAAATGTAAACTATGACGTTCTCGTGGCTTTGTATGTGTCTGTGCCCTAAATTCTGTGGTCTCCCCCAACACATGGCTTCGTCTTTGTGGAGACAGAGCATACATAGTGGGCACCCAGTTAGTATGTGTGTCAAAGTATCATCGTTATGTTCCAGAGCAGCAGTAAGCCAATTATAGCTCACAGGCCTCTTTTCCTAAGTAAAGTTTAATTGGAACGCAGCTACACCCAGTGTTGACTATGGCTGCTTTTTTTGCTACCATAACAGCGGTTAGTAGTTGTGAGAGCCCTTCTGGCCTGTAAAACCCCACATACTTACTAACTGGCCTTTTATGGAGAAAATTTGCTAACCGCTGCTTTACCTCCAGACTTCTCTACCTTCCCATACATGATGGATCCATGAATGCTTCTAGAACCATCTGTCTCCAAGTCTGTTCCAGGGAACACTCATTCTATGAGCTGCTCCTTCCTGGTTTAGGAAGTTCGGAAAATAGAAATGAATAACGTACATGGTGAAGTTTGGCAGTTAAAAAACAACTGTATAATTTTGATTCAGTATTTGCAAATTCATTTGACATTTTAATAATAATAATGGTATTTTTTTTTTACCAATTAATAATGTTTTACAGAAGGAAGCTTCCCCAGACACAGCTTAGGAGATATGGATAACAGAATTGATTTTGCATGCTAACTCCAGTAAATTGGAAGCGACTGACCAGAGCATTGCACTGAGAAGGGTCACGAGGTACGGCCAAGGGACTGTGGGAGGAATACAGCAATCTTACCTAGATCAGCCATGTATCTGTGATAGCATTTATCAGCACTTGTTTAGGTCTTACTCAAACTACACTACAGTGATGGTCTATACCATTCCTACCTCGATCCCTGCTGCACATGAGATGTGACTTCAAAGATGCTCTTCTTGGGTGGCTTATGATCTAGTGATGAGAAAATTTCACAGAGAGTTACGGGGAGAGTACTTGTCTTATGTTCCAGAAGTGCTTGGAAGATGAAATTTAATTGGTCCTACAGATGCAGACTTGATTACTATACATCGTTCCGCTTCTGATATTCCCATTACACTTATGTTACACTTCTTGTAATTGGTGCACAGCCCTTCAATATTCTGTTTTTATTCAGTCCTCGTTCTTTTTGTTTTTCAGATTTTGAAGTTCTTATTGACATTTGCACAAACCTAGAGATTCTTTCCTCAGCCGTTTCTGGTCTACAAACAAGCTCATTGAAGGCGTTTTTCATTTCTGTTACAGTGGTTAGCATTTCTTTTTGATTCTTTTTTAGAATTCCCATCTCTCTGGTTACCCATCTATTCTTGCATGTTTTCAATTTTTTCCATTAGAGCCTCAGGCATATTAATCACAGTGGTTTTAAATTCCCGGTCTCATAATAATAGACCTAATAATAGTTCTCATTCCTGGCATATCTGAGTCTGGTTCTGATGCTTGTTCTGTCTCTTCAAACTGTTTTTTTTTTTTTTTTGCGTTATCATGTTTTGTGCTTTTTTGTTAAAAGCTAGACATGATGTACTGGGTTAAAAAAAAAACTCTAGTAGATAGATCTTTAGTAATGTGGTGGTGAGGTATGGGGGGGGGGGGGCGGGGAAGTGTTGGATAGTCCTAGGATTAGGTCTCAGTCTTTGAGTGAGCCTGTGACCCTGCACTATCAACTTCACACATGCTTCTTCCTCCCCTACCCCTCCACTTAGGTGGGGTAGGATGGGAGTGGGCTCTGGTTGGAGAGTTCCCATCCCAGAAATGGGTTAGGCTCTGATAAAATCCCCGCAGGTTAGGCTGTCTTGAGAGCAGGTCTTGTTAAGAAGAACAGAATTCTCTAGAGTATTTCAAAATGGATCCTTTTCCCCTGCTGGAAGCAGGAGAGGATTTTTCTCTGATACTCACTGTCTACTTGTCAGCCAGCACTGAGCCTCCAGCAATTTGTCAATTACTCTGAGGTTTCCTCCCCTGGTACTGGTTGCAATGGAGGTTTCTGCTGTGATTCTGTGTGTGTTCAGTTGTTGATCTTCAGTTTATTCAGCTTTTAACTCGTTAGGATGGAATGACAGCTTCCAAGCTCTTTACATGCCAGACTGGAAACTGGAAGTCTACAGCATTCTGTATACCTTCCTGGGTCCTAAAAACATAATAAAGCAGATTCCTCGTCAGACCTTGGGTATCAAGGAGACATTATAAATTTATTTTGTGAAGCTTCATCTTTGCTCCGAACATGTAACAGTATAAAAAGAGAAAATGAAAGAAATACATATATTTACAAGAAAGAATAACATTTTCCCATATCAGAAACACAACAAAAAGACAAAGCTATGTTTGGGGTTGGGGTTGGACCCCCCTGGGCTGTATGTCTGAAAGTAGATAGGAGCTTCTAGAAACTAGGGTCTGGAGTAAGGCTCCCCTAGTTAAGAAAGGAGACTGGAAAGCTCCTTAGGGCTGCTACGTCTATGAAACTTTGTGTCCAGGAAAGAAAGACACTGTACTAGTTCACACCCCCAAAATGAGGCAAGCCCCAGACAGTGGCAGATCCTCACTATCTGCAGTACCATAAAGGGCACGGAGGGCCAGAGGCAGTTACAGGTCCACCACTAGAAGTGGGGGCTGGCTGGAAGGGAAGGAAAGAAAGATTTCATCAAAGAGAACTTGAGGTGCAAATTCCAGAACATATGAAGAAATCTAGCCTATGACGGCCAACCACTGGAGACAAGTTGACTTTAGATACAGTGAAAATAATAGAGAAATATGAAAAGGATTTTAAGTACATGTTTTTAGGATCCTCAGGGTGGTAAATGAAATAAGGACTTCCAAAGAAAGAGCAAGAATTAACCAAACAAAGATAAGCAGAAATGGAATTAAGAAGTATATATGAAATAGAGCCACTTAGGTATCTTGTGCATGAAAAACATAGACTGGGGGCGCCTGGGTGGCTCAGTCGGTTAGGCGACTGCCTTCGGCTCAGGTCATGATCCTGGAGTCCTGGAATCGGGTCCCGCATCGGGCTCCCTGCTCGGCGGGGAGTCTGCTTCTCCCTCTGACCCTCCCCCTCTCATGCTCTATCTCATTCTCTTTCTCAAATAAATAAATAAAATCTTAAAAAAAAAAAAAAGAAAATCATAGACTGAAATAAAGCACACAATAGGTTGCATCAACATTAGGCTGACACATGTGAAGAAAAATAGTGTGCTCTCGATAATTGTATTAGAACGTCACCAAGAGGGGCGCCTGGGTGGCTCAGTTGGTTAAGCGACTGCCTTTGACTCAGGTCACGATCCTGGAGTCCCGGGATCGAGTCCCACATCGGGCTCCCCGCTCAGCAGGGGGTCTGCTTCTCCCTCTGACCCTCCTCCCTCTCGTGCTCTCTGTTTCTCATTCTCTCTCTCAAATAAAAAAATAAAATCTTAAAAAAAAAAAGAAAGAACGTCACCAAGAATGTAGTACAGAGGGAAGAGAAAAAAAAATATGGAGAAATAAGGGAAGAACATGGAAGATTGACTGAGAAGCTTATATCCAACAGGAAGTTCAGAAGAAAGGAAGGAGGGTGAGAAGCAATATTCAAAGAGAGACTGAGAACTTTTCAGATTTGAAGTCACAAATCCTCACATGTAAATGAACACAAAGGATAATGAAGAGAATAAATAGAAATAGATGCACATGTAGACACAAAACGGTAATATTGTGGAACTCCAAGCATGGAGAGAAAAGTCTTAAAAACCACGCGAGAGACAGAATGCCTGCTAATAAATACCTATTATATGGACAACAGGCTTCTTATTTGCAGCCGATGCCAGGTAATAACAAAGTAACACTTTGAAGGTGCTGATAGCAAATAAGTGCAAAAATTGAATTCTAAATCCAGATAAAGTATGACTCAAAAGTAAGGACCATACAGTTTCAAAAAACATTAGGAAAATTTGCTGCTTAACATTCTCAGTGAAAGAGCTATTAACAGATATCTAAGAATTGGGATGCAAAAACCCAGAAAATAATGTTATTATTTTAATTAACGATTGGCACTATTCACATACACAGACACGTGCACACACTCAAAATTCTACATAAGAATATCAAGGACGCAGGAAAGGCAGAAGTGGGAGTTGAGGTCTTTTGATTGGGTAGGAAAAGAAGACTTTGGTTGTTTAGGAGGTGGGGAGAGATGTTCAATAATTCTCAAACTTTGGCATGTGTTAAGAATCGTTTGGAACACACAGGTTATGGGCCCCACCTGGAGTTTCTGATTCATTAGGTCTGTGGTGGGACCTGAGAATTTGCATTTCTAACAATTACCAGGTGATACTGGGCCACTGGTTTGGGGTCCACACTTTGTGGTTTTAAAGCTATACATTGTTTCTATGCTTTTCATGGTTATTCAGTTTTTTGACCTACAGAATTAGCTACAATATTTTTCTAGTGAAGTCTGGAGGAATGGTTCTCAAAGGAGAAAAAAATGTATATAAAAATGTTATAAGTGTAACAGAAGGCAAGAAAGAAAACATAATGAAGAAAAGGAGAATAGTAAACACAAATGAAGACAGTAAAACTGAATCTATAGACTGGAAGACAGTTTTTGCAACATGTCAAACTGAAAAGGAATTTGTATCTAGAATATATATATATATATATATATTTTTTTTCTTTAATGAGAGAGAGAGAGCATGAGAGGGGGGAGGGTCAGAGGGAGAAGCAGACTCCCTGCCGAGCAGGGAGCCCGATGCGGGACTCGATCCCAGGACTCCGGAATCATGACCTGAGCTGAAGGCAGTCGCTTAACCAACTGAGCCACCCAGGCGCCCCTGTATCTAGAATATATTAAGAACCCTTGCCAATCTTTAAAGAAAAGGACAAAACCTTGAGAAAATCTGCAAATGATCTGATTAGGCAATTCACATAAAAGGAAACCAGCATGACCAACAAGCCCAGGGAAGTGTTTTGTCTCATCTGCAACCAAAGAGACACAAATTAAAACATGGGTTCTTATCCAACAGATCCATGAAAACTTAAAAGCCTGATAATTCTAAATGTGAGTGGGGATGTGGAGAAACAAGACCGAGGTCTCCCACCCAGGTGGTGAGAGGGTGCACTGGGATAATTCCTTTGTGAACAATCTGATACTATCTCATAAGGATATGGTCCTCATATCATATCCAACTAAAAATGCATATTCTCTGGGACCCAGCAGTTCTGCTTACTAGGATCCTATCAGAACTCTTGCATCTGTGTACACAGAGGTGTGGGCATGAATGATCTTGCAGCATTGCTTGTGAGAATCAAAAGCTGGAAATAACCTAACTTTCACCAGCAAGTGGATAAAAATGTCGGATCTTCACATAAAATGGAATACTGCAAAGAATTAAAATGAATTGGTACTCTGTGGAGATAAATTCCACCTATAGGTTCTCTAATGCTCTTTACTAGACAACATTGTTGACCCCAAATACTTGGAAGTAGCCTCAGCTAAAATTATCATCAAAACATGTAGTTTGCAGTTTCAATGATAAATAAGAAATTTCTATGAAGTCCTTGGCATAAGGGCTTTTGTGAACACAAAACATTGGGTTAAGCCACTATTTGTTTAGATTAGAAAGATAATGCAGAAAAGTTAGAGTATTTCCATTCCAGTAACCACCGTTTTTAAATTAATCTATGCTTCTTTTATATTTTGTTATCATAAAGTTATCTCTGTCTAAGTCTGTTTACTAAACAGAACAAAGAACTTTGTATA